TCACCGCAAATGGCTCTACCATTTTACATTCCCTCCAGTAATGTGTAATGGTTCCAATTTCCCTGCATCCTCACCAACGTTTGTTATTTTCTGGTTTTTTAATCTTAGGCATCCTAGTGAGAGTGAAATGGTATCTCATTGTGGTTTAGATTTACATCTATATGATGCTAATGATGCTGAACATCTTTTCATTTATTTGGTGGCCATTTGAATATCCTCTTTGGTGAAATGCCTATTCAAGTCCTTTGCCCATTTTATGATTGGGTTATTTGTCTTTTTGTTAAGTCATCGAAGTTTATATTCATTTTGGTTATTAGATTATTGCTGGATATATATGGTTTTCAAAGAGACTCTCCCAGTCGGTAGCTTGCTTTTCATTTTTTTGGTAAATTCTTTTGATGAACAGATTTTTTAATTTTTATGATTTCCCATTTATTTATTTTGTCTTTTGCAGTTTGTGCGTTTGTTGTTATATTAGGTGGTATATTGTTAAAATCTAGGTCTGACAGCATTACCCCTGCTTTTTCTTCTAAGAATTTTATCATTTTAATATGCACATTAGGTCCTTAATCCATTTTGAATTTTTGTGTATCGTGTGAGGTATGAATGAATCCTGTTTTGTTTTTCTGCATGTGGAAATCCAGTTATCCCAGCACCGTTTATTGTAGAGACTCTTCTTTCCCCACTGAATGCACTTACAGCCTTGTCAAAAATCAGGTGACCATAGATGTGTGGGTTTATTTTTGGACCGTCAGTTCTATTCAGTTGGTTTATGTGTCTGTTGTTACACCGGTGCCAGGCTGTTTTGATTATTATAGCTGTGTAGTATGTTTTAAAATCAAGAAGTGTGAGTCTTCCTACTTTGTTCTTCTCTTTCAGCATTGCTTTATCTATTCGGGGCCTCTTGCCATTCCATATAAAGTTGAGGATTGGTTTTTCTGTTTCTGTAAAAAAGGCTGTTGAAATTTTGATCGGAATTGGTTGAATATATAGATTGTTTTGGGTAGTATTGACATCTTAACAATATTGAGTCTTCCAAAACATGAACATGGAGCATCTTTCCATTTATTTAAGTCTTCTTTTAATCTCTTTCAGCAGTGTTTTATAGTTGTCATTGTATAAGTCCTTAACATCCCTGGTTAGATTTATTCCTAGGTGTTTTATTCTCTTAGATGCTATTGTAAATGGAATTGTTTCCCTAATTTCCCTTTCAGATTTCTCATTGCTGGTGTATAGTAGCCCAACTGATTTTTATTTGTTGGCCTTGTACCCTGCAACTTGCTGAATGCCTCTGTTAGGTCTAGAAGTTTTCTTGTGTACACTGGTATTTTCTATATATAGAATCATTGTTTTTTCCATTTTTGATAGTGTTGTTTAACACACACAAGTTTTTAATTTTGATAGCGCTGTGGTGGCACAGTGGGTTAGGCGTTCAGCTGCTAACTAAAAGGTCGGCAGTTCGAAGCCACCAGCCACTCCATGGAAACCCTATGGGGCAGTTCTGCTCTATCCTATAGGGTTGTTATGAGTTGGAATTGACTTGACGGCAGTGGGTATACATAGAATCGTATAATCTGTGAATAGAAATAATTTTACTTCTTGTTTTTAAATCTGGATACCTTTTATTTCTTGTCTAATTGCTCTGGCTAGGACTTCTAATATAATATTGAACAGAAGTAGTGAGAGCGGGCACCTTTGTCTTGTTCGCGATTTCAAGGGGAAAGCTCTCAGTCTTTCTCCATTAGGTATAATGTTGGCTGTTGGCTTTTCATATATGCCCTGAGTCATACTGAGGAATTTCCCTTCTATTCCAATCTTCTTTAGGGGTTTCATCCAGAAAGGGTGTTGGAGTTTTTTCTGCATCCATAGAGATGACCATGTGGTTCTTTTAATATGCTGTTAGTTTCTGTTCACTAGTATTTTGTTGAGGATTTTTGCATCTGTATTCATGAGCGATACCGGCCTGTGGTTTTCTTTTCTTGTGGTGTCTGTGTTTGGGTATCAGGCTTGTGTTGGCTTCATAGAATGAATTAGGGAATATTCCTTCCTTCTCTATCTTATGGAAGAGTTTAAATAGTATTGGTGTCAGTTCTTAGATGTTAGGTCAGATTACCCAGTGAAATCTGGTCAAGGACTTTTTTTTTTTATTGAGAGGTTTTTCATCATGGTTGTGATTGCTTCACTTGTTATGGGTCTTTTGAGACTTTCTATTTCTTCTTGAGTCAGTTTGGGTAGGTTGAGTGCTTGTAAGAATTTGTCCTTTTCATCTGGGTTATCCAGTTTGTTTCTGTACAGTTGATAACATTCTCTCATAATTCTTTTTATCAGGTCAGTTGTAATGCCCCCTCTTTCATTTCTTATTTTGGTTGTGTACATTTTTCCTTCTTTTTCTTTGTCAGTCTAGTTAATTGTTTTGTCAGTTTTATTGATCTTTTCAAAAAAGCAACTTCTGGTTTTATTGATTCTCTCTTTTTTTTGTTTTTGATTTCTGCTTTGATCTTTGTTATTTCCTTTCTTCTGGTAGGTTTAGGCTAAGTTTGCTCTTCTCTTCCTAGTTCCTAGTGGTGTTAAGTTAGGCTGTTAATTAGATATCTTTATTCTTTTTTTCATGGAGACATTTATTGCTATAAGTTTCTCTCTGAGTTCTGCCTTTGCTGCATTCCCATAAGTTCTGGTGTGTTGTACTTTGATTTGCATTTGAGTCTAAGAAATTTGTGATTTTTCTTTTGATTTTCTAGGTTTTTTCTGTTACTGATTTTTAGCTTTACTCTGTTGTGGTCAGAGAAAATACTTTATATGATTTCAGTCTTTTTAAATTTATGAAGACTTGCTTTGTGGCCTAAAATGTGGTCTGTCTTGGAGAACAATCCATGTGCATTGGAGTACAATATATATTGTACTGTTTTGGGGTAGAGTGTTCTGTGTATGTCTGGTAAGTGTAGTTGGTTTATAGTTATCATTCAGGTCCTCTGTTTCCTTGTTGATCTTCTTTCTAGATATTCTGTCCAATATTGAAAGTGTGTATTGAAGGCTTCAGCTATTATTGTAGTACTGTTTCTCCCTTCAATTCCACCAGTGTGTGTTTTATCTATTTAAGTGCCTTAGGGGCCATGGTGGTACAGTGGTTAAGCATTGGCTGCTAACCAAAAAGTTGGCAGTTTGAATCCACCAGCTGCTCCTTGGAAACCCTATGGGGCAATTCTCCTCTGTCCTATAGGGTCACTGTGAGTCGGAATCAACGTGATGGCAGGGGGTTTGGTTTTTATTGTCTCTCTTTCTCCTTCAGTTCTACCAGTGTTTGCTTTATCTATTTAAGTGCTTTCATTTTGGCTGCAATATATATTTATGATGGGTAAATCTTCTTGATTAACTGACCTTTTAGCACTATATAATACCCATCTTTATCTCTTCTAACAGATTTTGCCTTAAAGTCTACCTTGTCTGATACTAAGATTGCCACCCCAGCTTTCTTTTGGTTATTATTTGCATGGAATATTTTTTTCCATCCTTTCATTTTCAACCTGTTTGTGTCCTTGAGTTTAAAGTGTGTCTCTTCTAAACAGCATATAGTTGGATCGTGTTTTTTTATTCCTTTTGCCATTCTCTGCCTTTTGATTGGAGCATTTGGTCCATTTACATTTAGCGTAATTATTGATAGGTATGAGTTTAGTGCTGTCATTTTGATGTCTTTTTTTGTATGTTGTTGGTTGTTTGTTCCACTTAATTTTCTGTGCTGAGTCGTTTTTCCTTATGTATATGATCGATTCACTTGTTTTTTTTTTTTGTCTTTATTGTAAGAGGGACTGCAGGAAGCATCTGACCACTCTGCCATCTTGGCCCCACCTCCCTCCCCCTCTGTTGTTGTTATCTCTAATTAGTCTTTGTATTTCTTGTGCCCTGTAACGTAATTATATCCTTGCTTTATATATATTATTTAAAAAAACATGAAGGACAAAACAAGTACTAGCCCTTATACTAGTCCATGCACTTCCCTTACTAGGGATATTTTTAGGTATAGCTTTGAGTGACTGTCTAGAGTCTTATCCCTTCCATCTACAGAACTTTCGTATTTTTTGTAGGTCCAGGCTGGTCGGTATGAACTGTCTCAGCTTCTGTTTGTCTGGGAATGTTTTAATTTCACCCTCATTCTTGAAGGATAGTTTTGCTGGGTATAGGACTCTTGTTGACAGTTTTTTTCTTTTAGCACTTTAAACATATCGTTCCATTGCCCTATGGCCTCCAGTGTTTCTGAGGAGAAATTGGCACTTAATCTCATTGGGGAACCTTTGTAGGTGACTGTTTCTCTTTCACGGCTTTCAGGATTCTCTCTTTATCTTTACTTTTTGAGAGCCTAACTGTGATGTGTCTTGGTTTACATCTCTTTGCGTTTATCCTGCTTGAGGTTCTTTGAGTGTCTTGGATTTATAGATTCATGTCCTTTGTCAGATGGAGGAAATCTTCTGTAATTATTGATTCAGATATTCTTTCTGTCTCTTTCATCTCCTTCTGGAATTCCCATGATGCGCATATTAAATTTCTTGTTGTCCATTAATTTCATGAAACTGCTCAGCCTTCTTGACCCTCTGTTCTTGTTGCTCTTCAGTTTCTGTAATTGTAACTTTTTTATCCTGTAATTTACTGATTCTCTCTTCTTCCTGATTAAATCTCTTGGTTAGTCTTTTCATTGTGTTTTTCCTTTCATTTATTGTCCCTTTCAATTGTAATATCTCCTTTTTTAGATCCTCATTTTGTTCACAAATTGTTTTCCTTATATCTTTTAGCTCTTTCTCTTTGTTTTCCCTTAGTTCTTTAATTACATTTAATGTCATTGTATTATATTTTCCCATTATTTGGTCATCCCTAGATATGCTTTCGGAGCCCTGGTAGCACACTGCTTAAGAGATCAGCTGCTAACTAAAAGATAGGCAGTTTGAATCCACCAGCCGCTCCTTGGAAACCCTATGGGGCAGTTCTGCTTTATCCTATAGGGTTGCTATGAGTTGGAATCGACTTGATGGCAATAGGCTTTGGTTAGATGCGCTTTCACTCCCTTTGTTGTGCTCATTTGAATGGATTTGAATGAATTATTCCCGTTTTTTTTTGTCCCTTGTGATTTTTTATTGGGACATTGGAATTTTCGAAGGTGTTAACTTTCTCAGTTTTCCCTAGTATTTGGTGTTTTTGCCTGTACTACTTTCTGCAGAAAACTCTTAGGTGAGTGGAGCCTTCAGCCTTTGCTTACCATTTCTTCTTACTCTCTGCGATAGCTTTTTCTCCCTCCCTGGCCTAATTAAGATTTGAAAGTTCCAAATCTTAGTTTTCAACTTTCGATCTCTCCCAAATGCACCAGAGAACATGCTGTGGTAATCTTGTCCACTGGTGGGCACCGCCACTCAGGCGAGAGATCATGTACTAATCAATCTGTCCATCAGAGGGCACAGTCCTCCCTTTTTGGTTATTACTTTTTTCCCTTCTCTGTATCTGCAACCATGTTTTTGGTAGGAAAACCCACACCCAGTGAACCCCTCTTGGGGCTAGGTGTTGCCCCCTGCTTTTGCCCAAGGCTTTCTTCCCTGATCTTTGGGGGCTGTTTATATCTGAGCTGGCATTCAGTTGAAGCACAGGTAGACTTTCTTCTGTTTCAGGCGGAGGAGGGGCTTCCAATCCCCAGAGTAAGATGAGATCAGAGACATAACCTGTTTGTATTCGTTTTTTGAGGCTGCTGTAACATATTACCACAAATTTGGTGGCTTAAAATTTATTCTCTCACAGTTCTGGATGCTGGAGGTCTGAAATCCAGGAGAGATGAGGTCCCGCTGGCGGCTCTAGGGGAGAATCTGTCCCTTGCCTCTTCCATCTTCTGATGTCTGCCCAGGCATTCCTTCATTTGTGGCCACATCACTCCAATCTCTGCCTCTGTGGTCCCATTGCCTTCTTACACTCTGGGTCTCTCTAAACTCCCTTTGCCTCTGTCTTATGAGGACACTTGTGGTATTTGGGCCCACCTGGATAATCCAGAGTAATTTCTTCATCTCAGTATCCTTGATTTATTTGCAAAGACTCTTTTCCAAATAAGCTAACATTTACACATTTCCAGGGATTAAGACTTGATATCTTTATGTGGCCATTACTCAACCTACTACACTTTGGTTTTAGGAGCGTAGTAGTCACTGGTGATCTCATTAAGGGCAGTTTCAGTGGCAGAATGAGGACATAAGAGAATCATATCTACCTTTCGTATTGCTATCATGTAGAGAACTGTCATTTGTCCCAAGACTGTGTGCAAGCTGATCACACCACTTTTCCATAGGCAGTCATGAATGCCTGTATGTCTGCTGTTAACTTGGAGTTTTACGTGTTGAACGTGAGAAAGAAGCAAAGTTCTCAGAAATCTCTGCATGTACCTTTGGATTCAGTATTGTTGACCTATGTGATCCAAGTTGGCGCTGTTTGGCACTGACCATTATTTCTGTAGCCGAAATTGGGTTTATTTCTCTTAATATCTGTTTTGATTAATAATACCAGTTTCTATATCATTTCTTTTGTAACCTGACTGGTAAGCATGTTGTTGAAAAATCCCTACTGAAAATGTGAACTGGATGTCATTTAGATAATATCTAGGTATAGTTGGCATTTCAAATACATAATCTATCTGAAGAGAGATCAAAGAGATGATGAGAAAAATGCTATTTACCATTTTTTTCTTGCCATCTTTGTGAAACACAGACGTTAACACTGATATACTTAGTACTGAGCTGCCTTCATTTGTTCTTTGCAGACTTTCCATGATTCCTGCTAGACAGTGGGGAGCAGCAGAGGTGATAGACCAGTTATTTCTGGCCGTGACACTGTATGGACAATAGATAGCATCCACATCAGAAAGGGACCTGCTTGGGGGTAGGAGGAGCCCTGGTGGCATGGTGGTTAAGAGCTGCAGCTGCTAACCAAAAGGTCGGCTGTTCGAATCCACCAGCTGCTCCTTGGACACCCTATGGGGGCATTTCTACTCTGTTCTATAGGGTTGCTATAACAGCAGCAACTGGGGGTAGGAGAGTGTTCTAGTAACAAAGGAATACCTCCATTCCCTTCTTCTTTGAGTTGGAAATGAAATGACTAGGAGCCTTGGGTGATTTTCCTGTGTATGTATGTGTGTATGTTTTAGGGGAAGACGAGATGATAGTGTACGTCTTCCAGAAGTGAGGCTTTATTTTCTCATGGAGTTGACTCGATTATCAACGATAAAAGAATCTTTAATCTTCATTAAATCTTTAGTTGTGAGACCATTCTCCAGAACTATCAAAATGCTGACAAGGGACTTGTGTGTCCCTCTCAGTGTCTGTCTCGGGGGCTGAGGCCCTAAGTTGGCGAGGTGGAAAAAACACATGCTTTGGAGTAAGGCAGACCAGGTTGGTTCACTTATTGTTCTCTGACCTTTGGCAAGTTACATACTCTTCTGGAGACTGTTTTCTTATTGGTAAAACAGGGATGAAAGCATCTGGTACTGTGACTACCACATAATATTAGATGTCACTATTAACACATCTCTTCATCTGTTTATTCAGTTTTTATTTATTGATTGATACTTAAATTTCCTGACTGCGTTTGATGTGTTTATATTAAGCAAAGAGTCTTAAAAAAAGATTATCTTGTTGACGTAGCATCTCTTTTAGGAAAGAGAAATAATGACCCCATTTTCCATCTTGTCACCCTGTGACAATTCCAGCTGATCCTCATTATTCACGAATTCTGTATTTGCAAAGCTCCTGTTGGTTGAAATGTGTTTGTGATCCCAAAGTCAATAACTTTGTGGCGCTTTCACAGTCATTTGTGGACATGCATGTTCCCTGATTGAGGTTGAACAATGTCTGCTTTTTTGTTTTAGCTCTTATACTGTAAACAAGTGTCCTTTTTGTGGTCTATTTATTCCATGTTTTTTGCATTTTTGTGCTTTTTGTTGGCGATTTTGCTGTTTAAAATAACTCTAAAGTGTAGTGCTTTTGTGCTGTCTAGTGTTCCTAGGTGCAAGAAGACTGTGATGTACCTTAAAGAGAAAATATGTTTGGTAGATAAGCTTTGTTGAGGCTGTAGTTATAGTGCTGTTGACTGTGAGTTTAATGTTAATGAATTAACAATATATATTAAATAAGATGCCTTTCAACAGAAACACACATAAAACAAGGTAACGTATTGATCAGTTGATGGAAATGTTGTGACCAGAGGCTTATAGTAGTAACCTAACCCTGTGTTTGCCCTAGGAGTAGTGGTTCAGTATTCACTAATTTATTGTTTATGGCAACTTTGTAGAACATAACTATCATGAATAATGAGAATTGATGGTACTGACCATTAGGTCTGGGGTCCCAGTATCTTGGAAAACAATGATAGTCATAAGGGAATACTTCCTGAGGGATGTTTTTTTAATTCTTAGATTTAGTAAGGAGGACAGAAGAAAAAGAGCTTAATCCATGTGTAGGGGCAGGTGTGGCAAAGGCTCAGATTTTGGAAGGGGAGTTACTGAGGAAAAGAGTCTGTAAATAGGTCAGCTTGCACAACATGGAGTATTTTGGGAGGTTTTGGGAAGAAAAGCTGTTAGAGTCCACTTGGGAGAGGATTCGCTTAACAGACAAGTCATTATGGACTGTCTGCCATGTTGTGCCTGGGCTGCTGTGTGGTGCCAGGTGCTATTGTGAACAAAGGGCAGCAGGATAGTCTTTGGAGTTAAACTCAGACCAGAGGTCAGATTCTTCCTCTGCAGTTCTCAGCATGTGACCTGAGGCAAGCTGCTCAGCTATCAAATGGGGATGAAACTGTATGTCCTTGATTTCTAAGACCCCTCAATTTAATAACACCGTGGGAAGACATGGAGCGAATATCTTCTCATCAAATTATTCATCACTTGTAGCCCATTGTAAGATGTTTCCTGGTTACAGAAATATTAATGTGATTTTTTTAAAAGTGCATCTTAGAAGCAAAGCAATATGGTAATGCCCATCTCAGGGATGTTGGGAAGATTAATAAGATAATATATGTTAAGTGCCTGTCTAAGTTAGTATTCAGTGGATTGTAGGTATTATTAACAAATGAAAAGTAATTTGATTGGGAACACCTGAAGAAGGAATTTAAAACAACAAGGTCATAATGTGACCAGGATCTGAAATAGGACTAGAATGAGGAGAAAAAAAAGAACAAGAGATAAATTCAGGTGGTGTTATGGAGATAAGTAAGTATGTATATGAGGAGAAAATTTCACCCTGTTTAGAGACAAAAAATTCATTGCTTTAGTGATAACTTCATGATATAATTGTTATAGTGTGAGCAGAGAGAATATGGTAATCATGTGGGATAAACTGACTCCTTTGTCATCTTCTGGGTGTAACACAGTATTTCTGGGTAACTACTTTGAACTTGTTGCTGAATAAGCTACTAATCACAGTAAAAGTATTGGCTAATTCACAGGTTAAAAAAAAGTGTGTTTTTGTTGTTTTGTTTGCTCTTGTTTCATTGAGTGGGAAGGAGGGTGGCTGGCTAGGGACTTGTCATTAGTTTATTAGTTTAGTTGCCTGGCCAGGAAATTCTTTGCCTACATTTCAAGCATCCTACATTTTAATTAGAGTGGTACTGAATTTTTTGGCTCTTCTTTCTTTCTTTTTGCCCCAGGTCCAGCAAGACTATGAATCTCTGTTCCAAATGCTTTGCTGGTAAGTGCAGAAAAGGGTTTTTTATTTATTTTTATTTTTCCTCTTTTTTTTTGTTTTTTTTTTTAAGACTATCTAAATTGTTTGACCTTCCTTTGAGTTTATGCATGGGGTTTTGTTTTCTTAGCTTGTGTCTGGGAGCAGTTTTTTCTCACCAGTTTGCATAGGACTGTTGAAACAATCTTCACTGAGTGAAATGTGGTCTCATGTGTACTTGCACTAAACAAACTTTCCTGAGTTTACAGTTATTAGCATACTCTGGAATTGTAAAAAATTGTGTTTTAGTAGGGTAATATATATATGTCTCTGATCATGACTTGAATGATGAGTGGTGAGTGTTGCTTTTACCATTGAGAATACAATAGAAATAATGTCTTCGTGTCGGAGTCAGGAAGAGAATCATGCTGAGTTAGCCCCTTCTAATCCAGTCTCTCATTGACATCACCTTGGGTAAGTCACTCAGTCTCTTTGGACCTTAGATTTATCATTTGTAAAATGAAGGACCGGGGCTAGATGTTTGCCAGCGGCCCTTTCTAGTCAAGAAAACACTTGAATTATGACTCCTTCGTGAGGTTAAACTTTTTGTTTTTAGAACTTTATATCTAGTGATCTTATCTAAAATAACAAAGTCTTTATCATTTAGGGTATATTTTAACTTTATTACTTCATTTTCGTCTTCATGGATTGTTGTTTGGGCAAGGAAGTAATCAGTGGTGTAAGCTTTAGAAAACTTTACATATGCCTAAATTAGGGGATAGGTGGGAAGGAGTTGAAGGGTTGGGGAAGTTGACAGTTTGTATCTTTCAAAATTTGGGAGTGTCAGATAGTGTAGGTTTTTAAAAGAAAAAAATATTGGGTAAGTTTGATTTTTATCTGACTTTTAACAGTACTTCTACCATGTCAAATGAATCCATTCTGCTTTTCTTTACTCTCATATCTACAGTTACAGATATGAAAAAATGCTTCCTGGTGAAAATTAGTGTAACTTTATAGTAGAGATAAAAATAGCAGCAAGACAAAATGTATATTAGATTGTTTGTCTCTCTCCACATAGGGGCCCCCCTTGTACAATAAAGCATGGCTTTGAAAACGGCAGGCACCTTTGAGTAAGGTGGCTCACATCAAATATTCATAAAGCAGTGTCTTACGTCCCTAAATGAAGCCAACGCTCAGCCATGGTATTTGTGTTTCTTTGGACTTGTTACAGTTTTACTTTCTATGATTGTAACTATTCATGATTTCTTTGGTGATCCGTGTCCATTTACTTTTTACACAGTTTTGCCATTTTTGCTTTTAAAAATATTAAGAGCATACTTTAAGTTTGTAAGGAAAATGCTCTCTCCATCTTTCCTCTTTATCTTTATCCCCATACTCCTAGTTTCCCTAACTGCAGTTGTATGGAATGACTAGTAACATCCTGCTAGCATACTGAAGCAGCATTTTAATGTTCTTTTAGAAATTCAAAAAAAAAAAAGCATCATTGAACTTTAAAGATACATTTGTGGATTTCACCTTAGTATGAAGATATGGAGGATGTAGTAAATACATTATTGTAGAAGAGACATGAATGTGCAAGACGATGTGAAGATTACTTTGGCCAAAGCCACTGTAACTTTAAATAATCTTTTAAAGTATATTTAAAAGATGGAAAATCACATTAAAAATGACTTTTTGTACCATTAAGTTAGTTAAAGAGATTTTTCAAGACCCCTTTTCAAAATAAACCTAAGTGGTAAAAAAAGAAGTTTGTTGTAGCTTGTTTACATAAAATTGAAGGACCTGAGAAAAACACACGTTTAAAGTCTTCTTGAGATAGTAATAGAAGGTTAGGAGCTGAGGGTGCTAGTTTAACATTAACTTTGACATAGTTTTGCCTCTTTGATAAAATATTCTGCTAAATAGTAAGCACATCACTTCCCCCCAATGGCCACCATCAGTTCAGATATTTTCCCTTTTCTTCATAAAAGATTCCTGAGTAAGAAATGCTTGTGTTAGTGATTTACATGTATGTAGAAGAGTGTCAAGGATTTCATTTTACTTGGATCCACAATCAATGTCCATGGAAGCAGCAGTCAAGAAATCAAGCAGCATATTGCATTGGGCAAATCTACTGCCAGAGATCTCTTTAAAGTGTTAAAAAAGCAAATATGTCACTTTGAGGACTAAGGTGCGCTTGACCCAAGCCGTAGTATTTTCAGTTGCCTCATATGCATGTGAGCATGTGAAAGCTGGACAGCAGATAAGGAAGACCGAAGAAAAATTGATGCCTTTGAATTATGGTGTTGGCTGAGAGTATTGAATATACCATGGACTGGCAGAAGAACAAACAAATCTGTCTTAGAGGAAGTACAGCCAGAATGCTCCTTAGAAGCGAGGATGGCGAGACTTTGTCTCACGTACTTTGGAAATATCAGGAGGGACCAGTACCTGGAGAAGGACATCATGCTAGGTAAAGTAGAGGGTCAGCACAAAAGAGGAAGACCCTCAAGGAGATGGATTGACACAGTGGCTGCAACAGTGGGCTCAAACATAGCAACGACTGTGAGGATGGTACGGGACCAGGATGTGTTTCATTCTGTTGTACATGGGGTCGCTATGGGTTGGAACCAACTCGATGGCACCTAACAATAACAGAAGAATGGCCTACCTTGGTTTATTTGATTTGCTATTCCTGAAGATTCTACCAGAATTCCTCTCTTTGAAACAGGAGATTGTTTTTTATTGTTGTTTTATTTTTGACAACTCTCTTATCTTTGAAGGGCTCTGGGCTCTGGTTTTGGCCTGTATTACCTTTATATGCTGGAACCATTTAAGGCCATCGGAGTTTTCTTCACAAATGTTTACTATACCTCTTTGTTAGCATTAAAGTGCCTTTTGCCTGAAAACCTTAAAGGAAGGGCTCTGGGGGAGCACTGGGAAGTGATTGACCCTGTGTTATGATTCCCCCCATGCCTGCTTTGAGGAAGAGCGCATTTAAAGTGCTCTTCTGTGTTCTCATTTTTTGTAGTTATTATTTAGTCTAAAAGAACAGGCACGAATTGATTTTACCATACTGTTTTTTCTGCATTCCTGTTTGTTATTTTTCTTCTGTCCATATTGATTCTGCTTTCACATGTTCTGTTTTCCTTCCTCAAATCACAATTCTGTACATTTGTTCGGAAATTTGGGTATATCTCAAGAATAAGATTAATCTGTGAGCAGAAACTAGAAACACCTGCAGTTTGGGTAAACATTTTCCCACCTTTGGATTGATAATTTATTTACCCTTCCTAGTTCAAATTCTTAATTATATTATTGCTAAAGAAAAGATTTGTTTAACAGATTTGCAGTTTAACTGAAGTTGTGGAAGGTACGTCTGCGCCTTTGAAAATGATGGCATTTAAGCGCTCTGAACATTTATGGTCAATTGATTTTGCCACAGAACTTTCCAATTATTAAAACTAGTCTGAGGATCTCCATTGGCCTAGTTTTGGCCCCCCCTTGATAATATTCTACTCATCATACTATTCTTTAAGCATTGTTATATTGTTTGTGTATGACTTTACTAAAGGAATCAGTAAATGTCTGAAATAGAAAGCGACAAAATTTAATGACACGGTATTTATAGTTTTGTTATGGCAAACATTGGTTGAAACACTACCTTCTAATGCAGTTTTTCAAACTCTGGGTGTTGTGACTCAGTAGGTAGAAAATCAGTTTACTGGATTATGATCAGCATTGGAAAAATCGAGGAGAATAGAAAATGTCAGAGAGCACTGCAGATAGTAATGGTGAGTATTTTGTGAAATCTTTGGGTTACATATATAAACGAAAATGATACTGAGTTACAGTGTAAATATTTATATATTACAATGAAGATCATTAAACAAGTTTGAAAACCACTGCATTATTGTGGAAGTAGGACTTTGGAAGATAATTGAATGTCTTAGGATCACACTTTCTCTGTTTGTAAAATAGGTGATAATTCCTTCCTGGGTTAACCAAATTTCTTGGGATCTTTGTCATTTCTGAGCTCTTGGCTAGTTTGGATTACATGATTTTTCTATGTGAAGCCATGAACTAAACCTGATTGCCTATTGCTGTGTTAAATATATATATGAAAAGTCAAGCAAAGTATCTAAAGGGTAGTCCTGCCTCTTACAAAGGTAGAAATAATATTGCTTATGGTATTATTTTCTGCTTGAGTACAAACCTAATTAATGAATTTAATAACTAGAGTTTGATGTTTAGGGACAGTAAGTACCAAATTCACAGTAACCTCCCGTACTACCGTAGTGAAGCCTAGCTGTCATTGAAGAAGTGCACTTCACAGGATAGTTCTGTTGACTTCTTAAATCAGAAACCCCAAATGGGATGATCACAGTGGGGAAGGTGAAAGAAATTTTAATAAAATTGACTGAAGTACCTCCTCTAGCAATGTGACATCATCCTCACTACCCACAAACTCTTAGAAGTGCTTGCTTGTGGGGCACACAAGAGTGTGGTGACTGGAAAGCAGCTGTAATCTATAGAGCATTTTTATACTTTATAAGGGAATGAGCCTGCCGTTATTTCTCAAGTGGTGGAAGATTCTCTGAGAAGCACTGGTGACAGATGCTTATAAGAAGACAAACCTAATATATGTTCAGTGTACAAACAACCAGTGGGATCTGAGAAATTTTAAACATCTGTATTATTTAATTTTTAATATAAAAAAAACTGGCACTGATATGTCTGTTATTTATAGACTCAGATAAAAGTACTGTATTGAGAAATCAAAGTAAGCAATTTATTTTAAACTGTAGACATGATTTGAACATATTGTTCCATTTAAGAATAACTTTTAAGAAACTTGACATTCCATGATTTACATAAAATCAGACAAATAAGGGAGAGATGATTATTCACAATGCCAGAAGCTTTTATTTTCTTAATAGAATATTTCCTTTAAAAAGGAATACTTCCAAGCATTACTGTGTAGATTTACAGGAAGATATAAGGCTAGAAAAACTAAAATGTAAGGATCTCTTGCCAGCTAAAGATTAATTAAAAAGTAGGTAAAGCATCTTTTATTATAAATGATGAAGTTTATTCCATTTCTTGAAAATTAGTTTCATTGTAACTTTTCAAGCATATATTTATATGTTATATATTATTTATATTACACATATATTTCTTAGTGGAGAGATAGTTAAGGAAGCTTACTTTTGTTTCATGATTAGTTGTGCTCCTTATTGAAGAATATTGCAATAAATAAAACAACACATACTGTATAGGAATCATATTCTAATATAACTCTAGAGTCAGCCATATGTTTATTTTTGTAGAAATCTGATTTCAGGTACTTGTTTAAATGGTCAGTCAGACACGGGGTTCTGATATTTAACTTTGGAGAAAATATTAAGTTATAGATTATAATTAATATATTTTTGCTACTAGCCTTTGTCAGATCCTAGGCTAAAACTATTAATTCTGTATAGGAATTTCATTTTCACTTTTACTATTTCTTGATATTGTCATATAGTTATAATTTTAAATTCAGAGTGGATTTTGGGGACGGATTAAGGGATGACATAGCTAGTACTAAGGCAGGATTCTATTTTCCCAATTGCTGCATGCTTTGTTTCCCAGCAAGAAAATCACCAAGCTGGTCATTTGCTGCCAAATTTCTATCTAAATTGGAAGTCATTATTGAATAGCAAAGTTCCATAAGTTATGCTCTTTACATGCCATTAGTTTGGGATTTTTTTTCCCCTTTGAAAAATAACATAGGGGCATGAATTAAAAGCTGACTGAGAAAAGACTACAAAGCAATATGCGTAGAGTATCCCATTTTTAATTAGACTACTTTTAATGTATATAGATGAATGGGAGAAAGCTAAAGAAAAGATACGTGAAAAATTTAATTTTGGTAGTCTTAGGGTGGAGGGATTTTTATTATTTTTAATTTTGTTTGTATTTTCAGAGTTAGATATTATTAGTATATTGTAAAAATGGTAAGTTTTTACAAAGTAAAATGCATTCTACTTATGTCTGACAGACTCCAGAGTAGTTTCTTTTTGAAATGAGCAAAATAAAGTTGACTATAACTTGCAGCATAGGGAATCTAAATGTTGACATCCAGGGTAAGTGATACAATGATGCCAGGCATAGGGTGAAATGGTAGGTAAACCAAAATGCTAACATTTTTCTTTGAAGTGACTTGAGTTTTACAGTAATTTCCAGAACAGGATAACAAGTTCCCATTTCATAGCAAGTAATCTAAAACGTCTCATGAACCTCCAACTCTTCTGGTTGGAGTTACACTCTTTATCTTTTCTCTGCTTCTTTCCCTCTTGGCCTGGTGCCAGTTACTTTATAAAGGCAAAAGTTATAGGTTACTGCTGAATTTGAAAATCTGCAATAAGAGGCATGGAGTGAATCTGAAAAAAATGTAAGCTGCTCTTGTTATGCATATTTCCTTTTTAGAAATTAAGGGAACCCTGTACCCATCAGTAAAATAGTATAAAAGTATCTACTCCAGTGAGCCGTTTTATTTTAGCATTGTGAGGTTTTGGTAGGATAATGGAATCTGTAAGCTTTTCATACCTTAATTTTTCTAATCAGCTTTTCCCAAAAGAAAGGCAGCTGCTGCTGTTAAAATGAAGTGTTTGAATAGGGTATTGCTGTCTTTGAAATTCTGTTGACTTGATTACTGTTGTATACTCTTTGATTTCTTTAAAGTTGAGAACCCAAGAAATATATCTCAAGTATAACACACACATTGGTGTTATATGTTTGTTAAAAGGGGGCTGTTCAACTCACCGGGCTCTTTAACCATTATATGTCTGTTGGTGGGTGTCTGAAATTCAGACTATTACAGAGAGTAATACAGTAAACCTTCACGTGCCCACCTAGAACTAGCAGATGTTAACATTTTGCCTTTTTTTTGGCGGGGGAGCTTTATAACATTAAAGAGGGAAATAAAATCTCAGAGTCTTCTTTTACCCCAATCTTCCCACCTCAGGGACAACCACTGTCCTTATGTATTTACACTTTTTATTATGATAGGTAAGTACATGAAGTATAAATTCTGTTTTTAAAATGTGTAAATGATACATTGCACTTGTCATTCTGCAACTTGCATTTTTTGTTTATAAATTCTTTTCGAAACTAATTGTGTTAATGTATGTTGCTCTAATTAATTTTAACTGTTATAGTATGCCATCAAATTAACGTCCAGATTTACCTGGGACATTCCTGGTTTATGCTTGTTGTGTCAGTGAAATTATTAACAGTGTCCCTTTATGCCCTAGTGGCATAGTAGTTAAGAGCTCGGCTGCTAACCAAAAGGTTGGCAGTTGGAATCCACCAGCCGCTCCTTGGAAACCCCCATGGGGCAGTTCTGCTCTGTCCTGCATGGTAGCTATGAGTCAGAATCGACTTGACGGCAGTGGGTTTATGCCTCAAAGTGTCCCAGTATGGTTGATAAATTAATTGATCATCCTCATTACAGTATGCTCCTATTTATTTATATGTTCCCTCTTGATGGACATATAAGTTGTTTTCTACTACTATTTTTATAGCATAGTTGGAGCCCCATGTTTTCTCTGTGTTTTTTTAAACATTTGCTTGAGTGTGTTAAGACTGTTTCTGTGTAATAAACTCTATTCTTTTGGTGTAGCCTGCTTGCTTTCAAATGAAAGCAAGCCTATAACAGCAGAACCTTAATTGATTAGCAGTGCTGGACTCTGGCAGCCTTTTCTGACCTCTTAGTCTGTAGCAGTTTGATGTCTTACTAATAAGCATTCTTAAAGTATGTGGTTAATTATTATGCTAGTCTAGATAAATGAAGCAGTGTGTTGAAGATGATGTTGTTATGGAAATTATTTCAAAAATAATTGTTGCATATCTAATGAGAAACAAAATGTTTAGTGCTGTAAGCAGCAGAAAGGCAGCTTCTTTTAGCCTTTAAGTAGAAAGATTGTGACCATGTGTCAGAGTTATTATAGTGAAGTGGAGGAAATTGGATAGAAACTGGGTTCTTTAAAATAATTTGGCTCTGTCCCTTGGCTTGCTTTCTACCCACATGCTGGTCTGTAGGTATGGTCTCCAGAGTGGTACACAGGATCATCCATTTGGACATAGAGAGAAAATGTTAAATTTTCTACTTATATTTATTTTGATCATCATGTATATAATCTTATTGGTTTCTGTATTACATTTCCAGGGCTGCTGTAACAAATTACTGGAAACTTGATGATTAAAACAACAGAAGTTTATTCGCTCACAGTTCTGGAGGCCAGAATTCCAAAATGAAGTTGTCAGCAGTGTTCTGGAGGCTCTGAGGGAGAATTCATTCCCTGCCTCTCTCCTAGCTTCTGGTAGTTAGTTGCTGGCAATCCTTGGTGTTCTTTGGCTTGAAGACACATCACTCCAATCTCTGCCTTCATCTTCACTTGATTTCCCTTCTTATGTCTTTCTTTTGTCTCTTATAAAAAATGTCATTGGATTTAGGACCCACCCTAATTTAGATGATCTCATCTCAAGATCCTTAACTTTATTACATCTGCAAAGATCCTGTTTCCAAGTAAGGTCACATTTTGAGGTACTGGATAGACGTAAACGTAGGAGGGATACCATTCAATCCACCTACGGTTCACCCTTGCCCCCTCAAAATTCATATCTTTCCCAAGTGAAAAATATATTCATCTCACCATAACATTCCTAAAAGTCACCTCATTCCAGCATCACTTCTGAGTCCAAAATGTCATCTAAATATTGTCACATAAAAGTCCCAGATCTCATCATC